TTACATATCAAGCCCTCGTCCCCAAATCTCAAAAACTAGAAAACCTAAAAAAAAAAAAATTTCTCTTCCTTCGCAATGCCGACTTACGCCGATGCCGCTAGAAGCTGCCAAGCAGTAGTGTTGGTGCAAGCTGCAGTGTACTGCTACAAGTAGGGCACGCTGCAGCGTCGGCAGCACTGCTGTCGCTGGCCAGATTCAAAATAAGCCTTTTTTTTTTATAATTATACTATACCGAAATTTGGATACAAAGAAACCAAAATCCATAATCTGAAATTTTCAACCCAAAAATTGTAATTCCTCAAAAAAAATATAAATTCATAATATGAAAATTTCTCAAACAATTAATCCGAATTATGAAAGATAACGAAAGTTATACCGCAAAAGTTTTCAAATTCAACAAAATATAGATCCAAAATTGTTAAATCTGAAAACTTAAAAGATTATTGCAAGACCAAATAAATTATTCGATTCTCAATGATTTAACATGAAAAGACTCTGATACCACTTGTAGGATAATTTTTTGCTTTAAATCATTGGATCTTTCATGTTAAATCATCAAGAAATTGAAGAACTATAGCGAAAGTGTATCTAAATCAGACATTATTATTTGCAATAATTGAATCATGCGATATAGTCTTCCAAATCTATACCCAGTCTCATTTTTCTCTCTGTGATGGGATGCAGTAGAGAATGAATGATACGTACGTGTGATCTGAGGACCATAATCATATTTATATAATGATGATACCCTTTGACCTAATTCGGCTCATCATATAATTAGGATTTGGGCCCAGTCTCTACACATATGTAAACCCACACTTTAATTTGATATATTAAAACCCAAAATCGAAGTCTTATTAGATCACTTTAATTGGGTTTAATCGAATTTGATAGCCTTTAATTTAACACACAATTATTCATACATATAAGTCCATCGATGGATTAAAAATCCTTACACGAGGTGCATACATAAAGGTTTGGAAACCCTTTGCTTGTCTGAATAAGGACAGGACCTAATCTATTCTCGAACCCTTTGCCAAGGTAGATATCAACAATTTAGTCCCAAAACCAAAGTCATCCAAATCTTTAATAATTTTTCTCGAGCCCTTATGAAAACAAGTCACTTCAAATTTTCAGGCACCAATGAAAATTGGGAAGCAAAATTTAGTTTTATAAAATTGGATATGTGAGAGTTACATAACATTTAAATAAAAATTTGGGCGTCTTATGTCACTAGTTGAGAACTAATAGTGCAATTTTCCCTATACTCACATTAACAAATACATGCCTTCCGGACATCCTTTTGTCTGTCATTCTCCACCATTTACATATTTTTCAACATTTTCAGCCTTTTATTTTTAATTATCTTTGAGACCATTTGAAATGTAAGGTAGGTCTGCTCTCCTTTTACGGCCTATAATTTATGATTTTATGCTGCCACTTATAATTATTTTGTCTTTGTTCATTTCCATGTGGTATATTGCTTAAAAGTCAAGTTTTGTTTGAAGCTTATAAGGGTACACAATCTTAGTTGTTCATGGCCCATAGTCTCATTTGTAATCTTTAGATCATATTGTACGTAAGGAAGTGATCATATATGGTATGAAAAAATTATATATTTTGTACTTTTCATCTACCAAGAGCAATCTACTGCGAGGTAAATGAACTTTCATCTTTTACATAATTTTTAGGAGTTTTTATCAGTCACTTAACTGAAAATGCTAAAATTCATATAGCTCTTCGTTATAGTGGTTAAACACTCCATCTAAAAGTTAAGAAGCGAGATTTATTTATATATATTTTTATGTTCAACATCTAACACGTGTAGGTCAAATTCATTAGTTTCATCAAGAAACAACAATGTATGAAACGATAAATATAAACAATATACCTTTCTTGAATAATTTCAGTTTTCAGTGAGATATTTCAACGTGATATTAAAGATTGCAGATATCTTTAATTTCAAGTTTTAAATTTCAATTATTAACATTGTCACAAGTCTATGTAGAAGAACCATTTTGTAATCAATTTTGATATTTGATGGCCCATCATTTGCGTGATTATTGGTACTTTTTTAATATGATATGATGGCTAAAGGGTAATGATCAGAAAGCTTTGCGGCCCATTGCTTTGTGAATGCCTTAGCCTGAAGTGGCCCAAATCTATTGATTTCAATAGCATTTCTTGGGCCACATTATGATAGACTTTGTTGGAAATTGACAAAAATGTTATACATAAGCAATCATAATGTTAACACTAGCACACCAATTCTAAAGGCAAAGGTACAAGCATAATAATTATTATGAGGACAATAAGAAACTTTAAATTTAAACAAATAAATTTGTCTATTATTTAATATTTTGAGCTTTAACTAGACGAGATAGTTTCACTTTCACACTGTATTAGAGAATGTAAAGATTCCGAGTCTCAAAGTTTCTAATTATAAGAATTATGTGTGTTAATCCTATTAGGAAAAAAGAATCCAACATGCATGTAAGGAGCCGTGTTGGAGACAAAAGGGTGAACATTACATTACAACTTGTTAGATTCTGAGTCTCAAAGTTTCTAATTGTAAGAATTATGCGTGTTCATCCTATTAGGAAAAAAGAATCCAACCTCCATGTAAGAAGCCGTGTTGGAGACAAAAGGGTGAATGTTACATTACAACTTGTTTTAAATTAATATAAGATACGCGAATTAAAAATCTTATCTACTCTCTCATTGTTTGAACTTTTGGAGCAGAAAAAGTCCAGTGTTCTAGTTTACCCGCTTTCCATTTATAAATATAGTACGCCTATTAAACATTTGATATAAAATGAATTTGATTTATACATGAATATA